AGGAAACAAAACTTCAAGAACACGGCCACACAGCCCGGAAGACCCACACCAGCCATCATCCTGAGTTCTTTGTTTTGCCTTTGAGTTAGAATGGGGTCACAATGAGATCTGGGATTCCCCATCTCTGAGGTCCAGGGCAGAATTTGACTGGGGAATGTGGGGCTGCAACTTCACATAACAAGCTGTTTTTTGGAAAGGAACTTTCATTTTAACTGAGGCAATTCTGTGGAGTAGATGTTAGATGGCAGTGGCTGAAGCAAACAGAAGCAGCTCCCCGGGTGGTGCTAGGTAACCCCATGTTGCTGGGTGTCAGGGAGCAACTGATTGTGTGTCTGAATTGGGCTCAAGGCACAAATTGCAGGTAGAAAGACCAGCTGCTAAATACAGGCACTTTTAGTGTGTCCAGTAGTATCAGAGAGGATTGTTATACCCTTCATTTTTGTAGGAGCTGAGACTGAAAAGTAGTTTTAGATCCTGATATAGGCCAAGCAGGAACCATTCAAAAGACCTTGTGATAAACTTCATTTTGCCGATATTCATTTGCATAGGTTTGTCAGAGCCATTTGTTCTGAAAATTAGGGCTGACCTGCACTTCCTCCTTGCCCCAGCGGAAGGCCAGGAGGGCAAGACAGGTGATGTGCCCTCAGCCTACCCCTGACTTGCTGGGAAGCAGCTTCCCCTTAAATGTCTTTTCTCCACATCGGAAGTAGTGTTTGCTCCTCCTGCTGATGCAAGCTGTGCAGTCCAGTCTACCTGCTGGGCTTCCTGCTCTCCTACACAGATCCCTCTATTCCTATTGGTTGCTGTGCCCTGTAGTGGGCATGCCCACCCCCCAGTCTCCACTGTCTGCCTTTGACATCCACTGCCTGCTGGGCTGCCTGCAATAAAAACCACTACTGATTGGTTGTTCAGTAGTGTTTTTTTCCTTTTTACCTGGTGGAAATTGACAAGAGTTGTGCCAAGTTTCCCCTTCTAGCCTGAGCGACAGGAAGAAATGAAAGTCGTGGTGTTTGTTTCTTCAGCTGATTTATGCACAGGATTCAAGCACTTGAAGGCTGCAGTGTGAAAAAAAAACCATCTTAAAAAAAGAGGAAGTGTCATATTATGACTAACTGGGGCAGAGTGGTATATTTTTCCTTTAGAAAAGCAACAACATTTGGGCCTCTGTAATTGGAGACTCCGTGTTATCCTCTACCTAAGCCATTAATCCCTTGTAGAGTGGCTTCTGGCCCTACAGGAAATTATGGTTCTTTCACTTTACTGGTCAGATCCAGATGGCATGAGAAGAGATCAAGAGTGGAGTTGCCCCAGGCTTGGTTTCATTTATGCATTTATGGTATTGTGTGAGGAATAGTTACTTACAAGTGTTATGTACTGTATTCAGTGAAGTCCAGATGCATGGATATTTATGGCTGGTGTAGGCAATGTGAAGGGGCGGGGAGGAATATGAGCTGCAACTGAACCATGGAGTCTTCTGAAGGGCTTCACAGGTCGCATGGTGACTGTGGCCTATCACCCAAAATGCATGGCTGACATTCAACAACTTCTGTTCCTGTTCTGAGGGTGGGGATTGGAATGTGCTTGGTTTGCCCTTTAAAGCCACTTCAACCCCTGAACCACAAGCTACTTTTCAGCTTTTGGGTGAGTTTTATGGGGAGGACGGAAAAGGGGGAAAACCCTTTTCGGAAAAGGGGGGAAACAAATTGTTCTCATTCCCACCCTTAAAATCACCACCAAATGCAAAAAAAAAAAAAGGACAAAAATTGTGCAGTTGAACTCAGTTGCTGTAGGAATTCAGCCATGCAGTCTCAGGATGATGGGAGAAAGTATGAATGGTACGAGGTGGTGATATGTGGCCTGTGGATTCTAGTTCCCTATACTTGTTGTATTGAATTATAATTGAGATCTTATACATCTGAAATAGGCAGTCTGGGGCATCACATTTTCCCTTTGTGCTGTATCCAAAGCATCATTACTGTAGCTTTTTGATTTAAAGGTTAAAAAATAAACAAGATCTACATCGTTAGGAGTCTGGAAAAAAAACCCTCTCCATTGGAACATATGTATGTTATGTAAACCTGAAGTTGTTTGGATCAAAGCTTACTGAGGTGGTTAAAAGATAAGTTTATACTGCAGCCCTATTTACCCAAGAAGAATTGCTGAACATAATAAGTCTTCTGGGTAAGCATGTATATTTGCTTTAAAACTGCTGAGTTGGAACTTCACCCCCCAAAGAATGGGAAAAGAGATCAAAACTCAAACATTTTTTGCAGTAGTGGAGAAGTTGCACCTGCTAAATTACACCTGCTGCAATTCTCTCTCCCTCACAGCTAGTAAAATTTCAGGGTTCCTGTCCTCTTGTATCTAATCACCTTATTTCATATGTGACAGGCTATTGAGCTGTTCTGTTTGCTTGTGTTTATCATGTGAAAGGAAATGAAAGAGACACATTGATGTAGAAATAAGCATCTCAGATATGCGGGTTTCATTTTCACTTTGCAAAGCAGTTGAGCTATTTTTTTTTTAAAAAAAGGTTCCTGTGAAAATAACCGAATACTGCCAGCTTACTTAATGGCCTTGGAACTGATCTGTTGGCCTGTGCCATCTTCCCCACATCGGGTGTCTGTCAGGCATATTAGACTATATCTTCTGTTACCTGTGAGATTTATGAGTTGTGACACTATCTGGGAGCTACTGGATTGGGGAATGTTAGCCAAAAGGAAAGAGTGCCATCACTGGGACAGCAAATCTCGCTTAAAGAGTATAGTTGGTAGTGTTGAATTGCTAACTTAAAATGAATGGATTACTGCCCTCTCCAGTGGATGACTAGAATATTTGCCTAATTTCATTCAGGTAGGTTAAGTATTGGGGATGTAACAGTTCTTAATATTTAAAAACCAGTTCATTAGAGAAAGAGGTGATGTGTACTATGTCCTGTTGGAATGGAATTGAGAATGATAGATGTCAGAGTTCAGTCTTGGAATTACTTGAAATCCTAATCTAAAGTTCTCCATTTATAAAGGTTTTTTTTAGGAAAATCTCAGATTTTTAGGTTAGAAAAAGAAGTAGTAGCTTGAGAACAGATAAATTGAATGACTTTTTCACATAGTGGGTAAACTGGAATTCACTATCATTTTAAAAATCCCTTTTATATTTAAATTTTGAATTTCCCCCTTGAAAACTAGGTTTTTCTCAGTTACTTATAATACGCTAACGTTATCAAATAAAATAAACAATTCTAATGCACAATAATTAAAAATACACTAAAACAATAAAATAATGAAAACAATCTGCATAATTAAAATGCTTCTAAGTAGTACAAATTAATAAATCAATTGATTAAGATGCCTGGGAGGATACAGGTAATTCTCGCTTACTGACTGCCTCGTTTAGCAACTGTTCAACATAGGACGCATTTGACAGCTATTATTTTTGCCAAAGGAGGAGTTACAGATGTTTCCACCAGCCATATTCACTATTTTCTTCTTTGAATCTGTAAGCAACTACACATACAGTGGGGCAAAAAAGTATTTAGTCAGCCACCAATTGTGCAAGTTCTCCCACTTAAAAAGATGAGAGAGGCCTGTAATTTTCATCATAGGTATACCTCAACTATGA